CAGTGCCACCATACCTGGGGCCATGGGACAGGATCTCTGAAGGCCTCTGCACCAGGAGCTGAAGAGTATGACATTCCTGGCTGGCATTTACACCCATGTGCTGGCACTTACCCACTGTCACCATGCTCTGCCCTGCAGTCCTGGGGCCATCAAACCAAAGGCACAGAGCCACCCTGGCATCTCCCTGGGGCTGCCCAGCCGCTTTTGGCCACACCTGGGGAGTGAATCCTGATTTACACCAAAATACACAGGGAATTTTAAGCTTGTAGTGCTTTAAATCCAGAAGAATAAATCACTGCAAAGCATAACGGAAAAAAATTCATGATAAAAATCAAGGGAAATGAAGATCACTCTTCTCTCTTCTGTGAAGGTCACCAAAAAGGGAAACATCAGGTGAGGCCCCTGGGACCCCAGCAGTGTAAACAGTTAGTGGACAGAGGGCATCTTCTATTAAAGAAAGTGTCTTGCTAAAATACATAGGCATCTTATAAATTATTGGATAATGAGATTCCAGCTAATTTGCTGCCTGGTCAGCCACAACCCTCCTGCCATGCTCCGGAGCAGAGCCAATAATCTTAAGAAAGAATTGCACTGATATGGAGGCAACTGGTCAGTGGAATTTAGGAAAGAGCAGCTTCTTCAGGATGGGGGGTGGGGAGGGGGACACTGTAGCCCCACAGCCCCATTGCCCCACAGCCCTTTTCCCTTGTCCTGTCCCTCCAGACCCTTTTGCAAAATCCCTTTCCAGACATTGTAAGGGGTGTACGGTCTGCCTGTGTCCTCCTCTTCTCCAGGTGAGTATTTCCATCCGCTCCAGCTCCAGGCTGTTCCCATCTCACCTCACCAGTGTCCTCCCCAAGGAGCAGCCAGCAAGTGCCTGGGAAGGGCACATGGAGGGATGACCACACACAAGCACTTCCCAGGAAGTCCCTTCCAGCCCTGTCCCATTTTCAGCTTTGCAGTGACCAGCCCTGGCCAGATCCTTTTCCCAGTTGCTCCCAGACTTCTCCTCTCACCTCTGCCCCCAGCCCTGCCCTCTCTCCTGGGGCTGCAGACGGGACAAGGATTGTCTCTGGTCACTGGGACCTCAGGGGGTTCAAAAGAGACGAGGAGACAACCACCCCTGTGCTGCACGGGGGCCTTGGTGCCATGGAGGGAACGAGACCCAGGAAGGAGAAGGTTGGGAACTTCTTCCCCTTCAAAAGAACAGCTGCAATGTTTGAAAGCAACGACAAAGTGCAGGATCGGGTCTTGGACCCATGACCTGGAGTGGGTTTCCAGTACAAATCCAATTCTAACTCCTTTCCCATTACCCTTTTCCTTTCTTCCTCTGCTGCTCTGAACCATTGCCAGTTCATAGTACCAAATATTCTGCATGTTCCATGCAATTTTAAAGCCATTATGTCAGCTGCGCTCTCCCCCCAGCTCTTAAGGCCTCCAGTTGCTGTGTCAGAATGTAATTAGCTTTTGATGGGATGTTAAGATTTCTTGAGCTCCTGTGAAGAGGCAGCGTGGGGAGAGGCAAGGCAGTGGATTGTGATTGTCACTCCCCATGGGAAGCACTTGAAGACCCTGGAAGACTCATTTACAAAAATGTGAAATAAATAAATAAATAAATAAATAAATAAATAAATCCATAAATAAATAAATAAATAAATAAATAAATAAATCCAAAAGCAGCAGACCCAGTAGGCTTTGGTTTAATCAACTGAAATCACTAAGATTTTTTTACCTCTGTGCTCTTTCTTGCTTGGAGAAAAATGGGAATTAACTCTCTCATGACTGACAGAAAATGCAGTGAGGAAGCCCAGCCAGGATTTTATTCCACACCCAGCCCCTGGGAAGCTGGGAAAGCCCTTCCTGAGCTGTTCATCCCTGCCTGTGACAAGGAGGTGCTGCAAGCTCTGCTGGTTCCCCCAGCTGTTCCTTTGCTCCTCCATCCTAAGTGGGACCAGCCCCTCCATCTACGCCAGGAGACACTTCCCTAAACACAAACCTGCCACAGACTCTGCAGACGCAGTGCCCTGATGTCAGTACAGCCCTGGCTCTGCATGGTGGTGCGAAACACGGATGTATCCAGTGCAATCCTGAGCCTTTCCCATCGAATGCCAGTTCAGTGGATAATGGGCCCTATTGATTGCTGCAGGGCCCAGACCAATCTCACTTGTCCTTTCAATTATTATTGTGGTATTCTCTACATTATTTCTGCTCAGCAAAATTAATTCCTCTTTGCCCACCCCTGTCCTTGTGGATGGGAGCACATTCAGACTCCTTTCCTGTGGAGTTGGAAGTTAAGGAGACCTCTGCAAGGACTGGACTTAATTCACTTCTAAACTGCTGCCAGACAACTTGATTTTTTGGGGTTTTTTTCGGTTTGTTTGTTGGTTTTTTTTTCTTTTTTTTTTTTTCCCTCTAATACTGCCACTGGCATTAGTGGAAAGAAAACAATAGCTGCATCTGGTCACTTAAGGAGTCAGCCTCCTCTTCCACAGCTCTGCTGGCATTTCTGTCTCCAGCCTGGACAGTAATGCATTCCATTTTAATTTTAGCAAATGCTTTCTTTATGATCAGAGACATTTTTCATTTGTATGTGTTTGCATCTCTCTTAAAATTCAATATTTCATTTGGGGCTGCCAGGTTACTGCTGCTCTTCAAAATAAAACATTTGTGGCACAGGAATATTTCAAATTATTTTCTCTGTTTTCCTCCACTCAAGAGCAGCAATTGCCTTTACAGCTGCTCTGGGAGGAGCAGAGAGGAGTCAGTGCCAGTCCCAGTCCCTGCCCTCTGCACAGTGAATCTGGAGGGAAATGGGGCTGCTTAGGGCTGCCCTGTACAGAATCACCCAAAAAAAATCAAAAGGAGAGGCTGAAGGAGATGGTTGCCCTCCTTTAACCATCACACCAAAGCTCCTGGGAAAGATTTCCCAGCCAATAATATTTTACAATATAATCATATTTCCCACGGGGTCCAGCCTGAGATTCTTCAGGTTGTCCGAATCCATCCTGTGCTGCCTTGAGCCAACAAAACCAAGGGAAAGGTTCTGCAGAGGGGCTGCGAGGGTTTGTTTGCTTGTGCCTGCCTGTGCATGTCCACTTCAGATAACCCCAAAGCATTTGCATGAGGGAGCAGCCCCTGTGCCAGTCCCTGAGCTGGCAGGGGGAGGGAAGGAGCCGTGGAGGGATTCCTGTGGGATGTACATGACCAGCACTGGAATAGTTCTGGGAGCAGGAACTCATCTCTGATCTCTCCTAACAACAGCACAGAACTAAAGGGTCCGGCCCTGCCAAACCCACCTCTGCCATCGCTTCGCCCCACAGGGAGCCCTGCAGGAGCTGCGTTTGCACGGCTCGAAGAGAGGAGAGATCATATTTTATATCAGCAATAAACGTCAGCAGCTAAAATCAGCCTTCAATTCCTAACTGTCAATTTTCCATAAAAATAAAGGCTGGATACTGAGCTGGGTATCCCACGGGTGAGCTGGCAGACCCAGGCAGCTGGGTTTTCTTTAAACACTGTGGTACCTGAGGATACGAGAAATCTCACCTCCTCATCACAGAGCAATCCCTTGTTAAAAGCAGATTCCCCGCCTCTGAGCATGCCCTGGCATCTCAGGATCCACAGGGAGCAGCTCATGGTCAGATATCTCCCAGTACAACAGCCTTTTTATCCCCAAGCACTCTTGTTATCTACAGCATTTTCCCCAGTATTTTCTTTCCTAGTGTTTCTGCCCAGCCCAGGTGTAAATGACCGAAGTAAAAAAGCTCCCACCATTTCCCCTGGAACATTATTCCATAGTCTAAGAAATTTTGCCATTAGAATTTTTTTTCCTTCCTGATGCAGTTTCATTTCACCCTGTTATATCAGTGTATGGAGGGAAAAGAGAAAAACCACAGGAGTGACAGAGAGGGCAGAAGGATCTAGAAGGAGTCTGGGCAGGATGGATCTAAGGAGTGACAGATCCCATGACAGCTGTCCCAGTCTGCTGCAGAATGTTGGATAATCCATCTCCACCTCCTCCTCAGTCTCTGGAGTAGCAGCCCCCAAGCTGCTGAGGCTGTGCCTGCACTGTAAGAGATGCTCCCAGTGACCACGGGCTGGCAGGACAGACACAAACCCACCAAATTCAGCCTGAAAACGGAACCCAGGAAAAAAAGTTCAGGGTGTTACAGCACTGGCAGAATATGCTCCTCCCTCCCTAATCAGGATGTGTTATTGGGGAACACTTAAAGACAAGTCAGGGGTAATTAAAGGTAAATAACTGCTCTCAGTGGGGAGCGAGATGCTCGGGGGATGCAGCTGCCGGGCAGAGGAGCTGCCCTGCAGTTCTGCCCTCTGGGACGGTGAGGAAACTGTGGGAATCCAGGGCTTCCCTCTGGCTGCCCTGGCAGGGCTGGGACCCTGGCAGGGGTCAGGAACCCCCCTGGACAGAGCCCCCAGAGACACTGTCTGTGATCTCTGTCCATGGAGAGGAGTTTTCAATCTTACAGGATGAATTACAAGCTTTGAGTGTTTGATAAGAGTAATAATTAAGTGTGACACGGGTGCAAAAGTAAAATTTTAGGTTTCTAGATTAGGGGTGCAAAGGGGACAAGATGGAGGAAATTGGGTGTGTCTTGTCCTTTTCCTCCTTCTTCATGCCCTTCATGTTTCACTGTAGTGTTGGCATTTTTTCTATTGGTTTAGGCTGGGGACACGCTGTTCAAGGTAGATGACAGATATTGGCACGTTATTGTAAATATAGTACACGTAGTTTCTGGTATTTAATGTTTGTACCATCCCACTGAGGGCAGAGCCCCACACGCTGCCCTGCAGGACAGAGCTGCGGCAGGGCAGCAGAACATGTTAGAGATAAACAGAATAAACAACCTTGAAACCAGCACAGACCAATTATGGCTTCTTCTTTGGCAGCGGGGCAGAAAGACAGAGACTTTCTACAATCTCGGAATCACCAATACCCACAGATTCCGACAGGAAACTTCCCGGGATGGGGCCACAGCTCTGTGCCGGGGTCGAGGCTCCCCCAGACCACGCAGGAACCAACCCTCGAGGCCGAGCAGGCTCAAGCTTTTTGGTTTTCCCCTCTGGGACATCCTTGCTGCTGTGAAAGGTGTTTCTGAAGGAGCTGAGGGAGAGCCCAGCCCAGGGAGGAGCTCCCAGCCGGATTGTCCCGAACGTGACAGCGAGCGGGCGGCCACAGCTGAGCAGGGTCGGGAGGGGAACGAAGCAGCTCTGGGACTGGAAAAACACTGACTGCAAATGAGAGCTCAGCCTGAGGAGCAAAAGCTGCCCCCAAAGCCAGCAGTCACCCTCCTGCAGCATCCACCTTCCCTGCATTACTGGGAAAAGCAACTAACTCCTGATTTACTCAGAGCTCCTGCTTACACGTGCGAGGAGCCCCAGAAATGCCCGTTTTAAGCGATTCCCAGCCACATCCGACTGAGCAACAATAGGTGGAGCTGCAGGAGCTGCCGGCGGCCCGGAGGAGCGCAGCGCCGCTCGGGCAGGGAGGGCCCGGCCGGAGCCGCTGGCCTGGGCCAGCCCGGGCTCCACCGACACGGCCCGGCTGCAGACAGCCTGCACGGGAACTGCCTCTGCTCTGGAAAGAACCTGCTGCATTCATCAACTTGGGAGCGATTTCAAAGCCATGTGCCTGTGGTGCTTGGGGACAGGGCCGGGGTGGGTTTGGCAGTGCTGGGGGAAGTGTTGGACTCGATCTCGGAGGGATTTTCCAACCTAGACGATTCTGGGAGGTCGTGGCTCCTGCTGCAGGTTCTGCGCCTGGCTGGGGCCTCGCTGTCAAACCTGAACTCCAGGCCTTGCCCAGTTATTCCAGCAGAGCCAGACTTACAGCTCTCTAATTCCAGTTTAACTCACGCTAGAGGTGCACAACCTGCACCAAGCCCCTTTCTGGGGTCTCTGGGGGGATTGCTCTGCCTGTATAGATGTAAACAGGGGGTGCTTCAGCCAGCCAGACCCTCAGACACTGTCAGGACTTGGTTCCTGCAGCAGGTCCCCATGGCTGAGTGTTCCCGTTGCACCACACAGAGGAGTTCTGCAGAGGTTGTGGTCTCAAGAGACAAGAGAAGCACCACAGCAGAGCTCTGTGCCTGCAGGAGCATCAGGCAGTGTGGAAATACAGCATCCCTGGGATGACATCTGTGTTTCTGGAGTTTGCCATGCCCATGGGAACAAAGCCCCTGAGGCGGCCCTGCTGCTGCCCACAGCGAACCAGGGTGACAAATGGAGGCAGTGATGGCAGTCCCCAGGGATCCCAGGGCTGGGTAGGACGGATGTGTCCCCAGGCCAGTCCCTCTGTGTCCACAGGGCTCTGGCAGGGACTGCTTGGATGGAGCCTCTCCAAATCCCATCTGCCACTGTGGGCTTGGCTGTTTCCAGCCTGGATGAAGCCTGGGAAACCTGGGCATCTCCGAGAGGGTGGAACCCAAACTGGGGAGGCCATGCCATCTCTAGGCTTTGGGTATGAGGAATGTTGGTTTAAATACCAACATTTAGCCTGAAGGTGCCAAAGCATCTTGTGAGACCCTCACCTGCTCCATCACAGCAGCAGCAGCACATCCACAACATCTACACAGACACCAAATTTGGGCTATTCCTACCCAATTTCTTTATCAGGCCCTTCCCTGTAGATCTGCTGCCACTTCTCTGGATACAGAGCTGTGCATCAAGAAAAGGGTTAAAACCCCGAGGCAGCTGCTGATTACATTTTTATGTCGTTCAGAAAGGCCAGTGAGGACCTAAAAGCTAACATTTTCCCTTTTAATGACACCCTAATAGATTAAGAGGGACCTGTCTCCCCACAAACATTAAAACAAGGAGATGGATTACCCAGCAAGGGATCTCCTGTGCACAGCTGGTGTGGAGACACCAGGGAAACAGCCTGGAAAAGAGCCACAACAGCTTTGGGACAGGCAGGGCAGCACCACTTCCCTCCACTGTCCCTGCTTGTCCCCAGACAGCCACCCTGGGAGTGGAGCTGTGCCAGGAAAAAAGAAAATGGAAAGTGCTTTCAGGGTGAGAGGAGGTGTTATTGCAGATGCTTGGGTTGTTGCAGGGTTGTGCCTAAAAGGAGGAGGAGAGAAGGGGAAAGGAAATATTTATCAAGCTTTAGAAGTGGCAGTGGAAGGGAAAGTGCCTGTGGGACAAGTCCAGTGCGAGTGGGATTAGTCCCGAGCTTGTAAAGGTCTTTAAGTGCTCCTGTTCTGGGCCACCACATCATTGTCAAAGCCTCGGGGTGCTCTGCAGCAGCCTGAGGGCTCTGGGCAAGGCAGGGTCCTCTGGTTGCCAGGGGCGTGGTCCCAGGGGTTTGGCAGCATCATCCATCAGCACAGCCAGGACTGCTGTGTCACCAGCCCAGGAGGCCCAGCTGCCATCTGAGCTGTACCCAGGCCGTGAGCCACCTCCAGCCAGGACTGGCAGGGGACACAGTGACCCCTCCAGCACTAGCAGGGGGATGCTGGCCCTGCTGGGACTCGCCGGAGGAGCCACTTGCCTGTGACTGGCAGGATGGAAATTTGCCTAATTAGCACCAGTAAAAGCAGCAGCAGCAGCAGGGGCCCGGGCAGCCCCTGCCAAGCAAACATGTTCAAATCAAACTGCAGCTCCTTTGCTCCAAAGTTTACAAGATGTTTCTTTCAAACCCTCATTAAGCCCTTCTGTCGTCCCCCCGTGCCTCAGCTACGATGCCAGCACACACAGCCCTGCTCCAACCCAGCCCCAACCCAGCCCCAGTCCAGCTCCAACCCTGCTCCAACCCAGCCCCAACCCAGCCCCAACCCTGCCCCAGCCCTGCCCCAGCCCTGCCCCAACCCTGCCCCAGCCCTGCCCCAACCCTGCCCCAACCCAGCCCCAACCCTGCCCCAGCCCTGCCCCTGCTGCTGGGCATGTGGATGTGGCCATTGCTGGCACAAGTGGCATCGAAGGGCCAAGGAAGTCTGAGGGATTGGATTTTCCACTGTCCAGGTCATCCTCTAGACACAGCCACCTCTGGAAGAGCCCCAGGACAGTGTTTGGAAGTGGAACTGGAGACGTTTCCTGGCCAGAGCAGCACTGAGTGCAGCAGGACAGAGCCTGACCTGGAGGGAGCTGGTCCTGCCCACCCTGGGCAGGGCATACAGGTACATCCCTGCCAAGCTGTTCCTTGGCATCAGCAGAACATTCTCACATGGGAACAGTCTGAGCCTTGAACACAGTTTTTGGAAAGATTTTAATTCCTTGGACTCTAATTCAGTGCCGGGCACCAAGTCCTAGCTCTGGCTGAGCACCAGGGCTGCTTCCCTGCTGCTGGCACAGTCCAAAACTGCCCCTTCACCAGGTGGTGCCTTGGGAGCTGGGACACAGCCCCGAGGAAAGAGCCAAGCCACAGTCCCACACTCCAGACAGATTTTGCTCCTGAGCTGACACCTGCCCTTTATCCCGAGGGTCTGGGAACAGCTGACCAGGGTTTGGGGCCCCAGACTTTGTGCCAGGGGGTGGCATCCCTTGGCACGTCCAGGCTGGGAGCAGCGAGCAGGGTCATGCCACAGGGGAGCTCAGCCAGCTCCAGGCACTGGAAAAGCTGAACACTCTGCCAGTGTTTGCTCAGAACTTTGGGCAGTCAGTCCTTTTCCTTTTGCTGCACTCAGGACTGTGTGAAGTGCAGCTTACAGGCAGCAAGGTGCCCCACGGAGAGCCTGAGAGGCAAGGAGAGAAACATCAAGAGGGGAAATTAGATGGAGAAACTCAGCTCAGCTGAAGTAGAGCGTCCCTCCTGCTGTCCTGAGCACAGCCCTCAGAGCCTCCTCCTCTTCAAGCTCTGCCTGGCTCTGGCTGGACCACAGGAGCATTTCCTGCCCTGCAGGGTGGCCCTGAAGCATCAGCCTGTGCCTGGCCTTGCAGAGGCTCTGGCCTGGCTGCCTCCATCACCTGCAAGCAGCAGATGATAAAAGGAGAAGAGAAAGCTGCAAGTCAGTGCTGGCAGTTTGTGGCCTCTCATCACTGCTGCCAGCTCCTGGCCAGGGCTCCAAGAGCTCAGCCAGAGCCTGGCACAGCCAGAGCCACAGAGCCACAGCCAGAGCCACAGAGCCACAGCCAGAGCCACAGAGCCACAGCCAGAGCCACAGAGCCACAGCCACAGCCTGGCAGAGCCACAGCCAGAGGCACAGCCAGAGCCACAGAGCCACAGCCAGAGCCACAGCCAGAGCCACAGAGCCACAGAGCCACAGCCAGAGCCACAGAGCCACAGCCAGAGCCTGGCACAGCCACAGCCAGAGCCACAGCCAGAGCCACAGAGCCACAGCCAGAGCCACAGAGCCACAGCCAGAGCCTGGCACAGCCACAGCCACAGAGCCACAGCCAGAGCCACAGAGCCACAGCCAGAGCCACAGAGCCACAGCCACAGCCTGGCAGAGCCACAGCCAGAGGCACAGCCAGAGCCACAGCCAGAGTCTGGCAGAGCCACAGCCAGAGGCACAGCCAGAGCCACAGAGCCACAGAGGCACAGCCAGAGCCTGGCACAGCCAGAGCCTGGCACAGCCACAGCCAGAGCCACAGCCAGAGCCACAGAGCCACAGCCAGAGGCACAGAGCCACAGCCAGAGCCACAGAGCCACAGCCAGAGGCACAGAGCCACAGCCAGAGCCACAGAGCCACAGCCAGAGCCACAGCCAGAGCCACAGAGCCACAGCCAGAGCCACAGAGCCACAGCCAGAGCCACAGAGCCACAGCCAGAGCCTGGCACAGCCAGAGCCGGGGCAGCTGCAGCAGAGCCTGGCACAGCCAGCACCTCTGGGTGAAAACAAACAGCAGGTGAGGCAGAGCCAGCATGGCTTGTCCAGCCCAGGGGGAGCAGCACAGAAGGATTTAGTCTAGAAAAGATCTTTAATGACATCAAGTCTAACCATTAACCCAGCAGTGCCAACCCAAGCTCTCACCTTATCCCAAATTTCTGCAGCTACACCTGTGTTACCCCCCTGGGATGGTGGCTCCAGCACCTCCCTGAGCTGCAGGATGAGCAGCCCAGCCCTGGCACCGGCTGGGAAATGCCTGGCTCAGCAAAGATCCGTGCACAGGCGCTGGGGTCAGCCCACAGAGCTTCCTTGGAAATGCACTCCAAACTCTGCAAAAACTGTTTGGGTTTGTGAGGTGGGGGAAGGACCAAGAAACATCAGGTTTCACAACACTCACAGGTTGTTCCTCTTTTGATGCTACTTTTTATTTTGATTAAAAAATGCTTTGAGGTCTAACACAAACCTTCCACTTGCCCGAAGAGCCAATGTCAACACAGAGCTTCTGAGGGGGAAGCGTTTAGAATTACAGAATGAAAAAAAAAAAAAAAAAAATTAAAAGCACTGGCCTGATCTTTTACGAGCTTGCTCCTTCCTTCGCAGGCACATTCAGAATTTTTTCTCTTTTCCCTATCAAACACTGACATTTTGGGGTCCCACAGCACTCATAGCTGAATCAAAGCCCAGCTCCTGGGTGGGCAGTGTCCAACCCCTCTGCTCCCACCCCAGGGTATCATCCCAGGGGAAAGACCCTGGCTGGCTTTTCCATGCAAAATCTCTCCTTTTGGAGCCAAGTCAAACACCTTCTCCTCTTGGCATGGTGCACAGAGCCCAGCCAGACTATCAGCAGTTATTTAGTTAATGCTGGAGAAACCTTGGATCAAAAGAAAAACAACATTTTCCCACACAAAATTCAATCTCCAACACCTTCCTGTGCTCAATTAAAGCAATGCCACTAATTAGGTTTCCATCTACCCATCCCACACCCTCTCCTGGGCCAGCAGTTTCCTGTCCACCCTTGTGCAGCCTTTAGCCAGCCTTTCTCCAAATGAAAAAGCCTGTGAAAGGCATGAAATTGGGCAAGGACAGGTTTGCAAACAACCTCAGCTTCTGGAGCTTGGCAGTATTTGATTTCAGCCAGAGAAATTTAAACCTAGAGGGATCTTTGCCAAATGGTCTGGCACCAGGGCAGCCAATGCAGAGAACTCAAGGTATTTGTGTCCCAGTCTTGCATTTTCTCTTGCTGTGGGAGCAGAGAAGAGGGAATTCTGTACTTCCACTTGCATTTTTGCGACTCCGAGTGACTACAGCCATGCCCACTACAGCATCTGCCTGTGTGGACGTGTTTCAGGTGCACTGGGGGATGTGAACCTGTTTATTTGTGTGTTTGTGTCTCTGCACTCCGGCGGTTTGTTGGAACAGGCTGCACTTCCCCCTGCATATGTCTCTGTGGCTACGTGCCTGACTGCGTGGGAGAGCTTCCCGTGGCTTTTTGGTGCCATTCCCAGGCAGCGCCGACAGCAAAAGGCACTCTCTGCAGTGGGAAATTATTAGTGAGGGAAGAAGTGGGGAAGAGCTGAGGAAGGGTTAATTTGCAGAAAATAACCCAAAGAAGTGCCACAGAGGGTGTTTTTGGTGGCTCTTCCCAGACACATACGGCAGATAGGGGATGGGGTTTGGGAAGGGTGAAACAGAGAGCCACAGGGTGGGAATCGGGGGGCAGGTGCCACACGAGCTTCCAGCCTGCACATTTTATTCCCTGGGGCTTTAAAGGGATTCTTCCCACTTGACTCTTTTCTGGCATCGAGGCAAGAGGTATCAAGAGCAACAAATTGTCCTGCCAGCACCTGCATGGCTCCCAGGAATTCCAGGCCCTTGATACTGGTGTCCCACAAGGCTTTTCCCAGTGGAAAGGTCCTCCAGTTCCTCCCAGAGCAGCTCCACACAGCAGCCTCTGAGGTGACCAGCTGGGATAGCCAGCTCTGCAGTCCTGACTGGAATGACCAGCTGGAATGGCCAGTCTGCAGTTCTGAGGGAGCCCGGGGGGTCCTGTCCATCCAGAGCCCACCCAGGCCATGGAGCAGCATCCCTGGAGTTCCCTCCAGGACAGGGGTCTCCGGGGGTCCATCCATTACACTCCTATCAATGCCCTTCTCAGTTAATTTCTTTAGCAAATCTTCCCTGTGCGTCTTGGTGGAAACAACCCAGAGATAATAACAGTAGATATGGGTTGACCTATGGGATTCCTGGAGTGATCAAACTGTCAGATAACAGAATAAATCTTTCTCGTGGGCTGGGATTAAATCAGAGAGTGTTGGCTGCTGCGGCTTCTTATTTATTTGTGTTCTCTTAAATTGCATTTCCCTTCCCCCCATGAAGAGCACTGGCTGCCTGCAGCTGTAAATTACTGCAAACCTTCTGGTGAGTTGAGACACCGAGTTTCTTAACCTTGCAAACATCTCTTGCTTCCCTTAATGGCTTCTGAGAGCTCCCAGGAAAGAGAAAGCAAAATGGGGAACATGATTTCATGGGAAGTTCATACCTTGGCATTGCCCCAGTCTGGAGAGCACCTGCGACCCCTCGCTGTGGAACTCCTGGATGTTTCATGGCTTTGGATGCAGCATTTCCTCTCAGCTTCCCCAGCCTCCTCCAGGCCCTGGTTCCCTGCAGCACCTTGGGGCTGGGGCTGGGCTGTGCCTGCAAACAGCCCTGGGGAGAGCTGGGAATCACAGCCGTGGAACCAGAGTCATTCAGGCTGGAAAAGACCTGTAAGAAAAGGTGGCACAGGGTGCCCAGAGCAGCTGTGGCTGCCCCTGGATCCCTGGCAGTGCCCAAGGCCAGGCTGGGCACTGGGGCTGGAGCACCTGGGACAGTGGGAAGGGTCCCTGCCATGGCAGGGGTGGCACTGGATGGGCTTTAAGGTCCTTCCAACCCAAACCATTCCATGATTTAGGATTCTAAGATCATCAAGTCCAACCATGAACCTGGCACCTCCAAATGCACCACTAACCCACATCCCTGGAAGGGGCCATGGCCCTGGACAAGCACATTCCCAGAGTCTCCATTTGCTCTGGCAGGGGCTGCACATGGATTACCAGGCTCAGGCAGCTGCAGAGACAGGACCCAGGGGCTGGCTCAGGAAGGGTGCTTGGAGAGATGACCAGAAAGGTTTGGTCTCTAGTGGCAAGTCAGGAGAAAATTCTGACAGGGTAAAATATGTCCTCATTTTTAAAAAATTAAAACAAAATAAGAAAGAAGGAAAAAAAAAGTACAAACCAAACCCAAATCAAATCAAGGTGTGAAATTTGCTGTGAAATGATTCTGGAAAAGTTTCTACATTTCAGTGCTTAAGTCCCTGTTTCAGAGAAGGCTCCTGCCTGACTCCTGGTGCTCTTCCACCTCCACAGAGTGAGCTGCAGAGGAGGTAGAAGGGAGATCCAGGGAAGCTGGGGTGGATGCATGGCAGGATGTCAGTCCAGGCTTACATAGGGAAGCTCTTAGACTTTCTAATCCTTCCTAGGAGGAAAAACTTTCTGAATCCCACCCCAACAGCCTCCATTGCTAGAACCAGTGAATTCCCAGGGGTCTGCAGAGCCACCAGCACATCCTCAGGGGCAGTCTTCCCCATCCCAGCCCTTCCCACAGCCATCCAGCCTCCCTGCCGTGACCTAGACACATCTTGGTGTAAATCCTGAGGAAAAAATCAGGCTATGGGACCTAGTTCCCAGCCAGACATTCCTATTGAATCTAATTTTGTAAAAACAAAAATTCTGGAGACGCCGAGTCAGCCAATCCCTCTTGAAACCTCATTAAATGTCCCATGAAGCAGGGAGAGACGAGCTGCTCCATATTCCCTTTTTGCTGCTGTCTGAAACACCATCCGTTCCAGCATGGATGGTGTTTCAAACAGCCACGTCAGAACCAGGCTCGGTGCCTCCTCTTTCCAGTTCCCAGCTGAGCCCTCTGCATGGGCGGCAGCAGCAGCAGCCTGAGCGAGCCCTGCCCTGCCCCGCTGGCACTGCTGCCCTTGCCCAGAGCCCGACAGGGCCGGGCTGGGATGGGCAGGGCAGGGCAGGGATGGGATGGGATGGGCAGGGATGGGATGGGCAGGGCTGGGAAGGGCAGGGAAGGGATGGGATGGGCAGGGCAGGGCTGGGATGGGCAGGGCAGGGATGGGCAGGGCTGGGCTGGGATGGGCAGGGATGGGCAGGGAAGGGCTGGGATGGGAAGGGCTGGGCAGGGAAGGGCAAGGCAGGGTAGGGCAGGGCAAGGCAGGG